CGTGCACGAGGAGAGCTCAAGGAATGACCCAAGGACAGCGAGCCCCTTCCGATCCCAAGACGGCCCCCATTTCGGCGTCTAGGCGGTGGGGTGAGGATGATGTCAAGGTCAGATTGGCTGAGTATCCGTTACAGGACTTCCAAAAGTTTCTGGCGGACCTCGCTTGTGAAGCCCGTGTTGAGAGTTCGGGAATGTAGGAAATCCTGGAAACCTTGGAAATTCTGAGGGAATCATTATCATGGTGTCCTCTTCCTCCTCTGACTCAAGGTGCGAGGAGGGAGGCCACTGGGTCTTCTGCTGGGTGTCTCACTGGGTATGGCCCTGTTTGAGGCCTCCAGGGCCTCCTGGGGACCTCTGGGGGATACATGGGTTTCAGGATCCCTGGCGGCAGCAAAACTTGCCGAGAGCAGCACCTCCTCGCCACCTCCCCCGTCGTCCTCCTGCTCCTGCTCCTGCCCCTCAGCAGTCATTATTCTCCTCGACCGTCTCCCCCATCCTCCTCATCCTTCTCTGATAGGTGGAAACGATACTTCGGGGGGGGCGGCTGGCTAGAAGGGGGGCAGAACATGACTTGGAATCGGCGCTACATCCGCCGGACAATCGGCATGAAGCCCCCGATAGAAAATCTGGACGTTCCTCGGCAGAGTGGGCTATCGAGCCCCAATCAGCCATCCCTCCTGAGACAGTCCCCCCCTATAGTTGCCCCTGCTTTTGTGCCCCTATCGGCTATGCTCCCTGAGCCAATCCTCCCCCCTATCGCTGCCCCTGATCCTCCTCCTCCTCCTCCTCCTCCTCCTCCTCCTCCTCCTCTTACTCCTCCTCCCCCTCATCCTCGCCCTGATCCTCCTCCTCCTCCTCCTCCTCCTCCTCCTCCTCCTCCTCCTCCTCCCCCTCCTCCTCCCCGTCCTCATCCCAATCATCTCCTCCTCCGTCTCCTCCCCTCCTCCTGCTCCTCGCCGGAACCGACAATTGCACACCATCACCGGCCCTTGCCAGCCACCTCCTGGGCCCTGCATAGCTGCACGGACCCAGATGGCCCAGGCCGACCAGTGAGACCACCTGGCGGGTGGCTCACGAGGAGGCTTGGACGTCAGGGCACAGGTTACGATCTGCATCGTGCCCACACCGGATCTGGAGGGGGGCCAAGGATTTCGACTTATGTCTCGGGGGTGCACCAAAGATCGGACGCTTCGCCGGCCAGCAGCTGACCCTCAGGCTGAACCTGAGGCGCTGCCGATGAGGGACAGGGAAGGGCGGAGGGAGACGACGACGACGACGAGGGAAAAGGTTCGAAGACTCCCCGAGTGCAACTCCACCTTGCATGATTTTCTATCTGCCCTGGGACCTCCTGTCATTTTGCACCTGCGGGTCAACCCTCCTTCCTCCTCCTTCCCGTGAAGCCTCCCCATCTTCCCCGTCCTGGCTGACCTCCTCCTCATCCGCCTCCTCCTTCTTGTCCACTTTCTCCCCCTCCTCATCTCCCATCCTCCAAGTCCGCCTCCTCTTTCTCCTCCTCGTAGTCTCCCTTCTTCCAATAATCTTAATAATCAGCGGCAAGATCATCATCACCCCCACCATCAACAACAAGCCATCATCATGACAACCATCAGCACCATCATCCTCAACACCATCATCAGTATCACCATCATCATCATCATCATCATCATCATCATCATCATCATCATCATCATCATCATCATCATCAGCATCATCATCATCATCATCATCATCATCATCATCATCATCATCATCATAATCCTCATCATCATCATCATCATCATCGTCATCATCAGCAGCAGCAGCAGCAGCATCAGCATCATCAGCACTACAACCATCATCATCAGCAGCAACATCATCATCAGCAGCATCACCAACACCATCATCATCACCCTCATCAGCATCAGCATCAGCATTTATCGTCATTGTCATCGTCATCGTCATTGTCGTCACGTCATCACCATCGTCATCATCAGCATCAACGTCCTTCTCCTCCTCCTCATCATCAGCAGCATCAGCATCGGCGTCATCAGCATCAGCAGCACCATCATCCTTCTCCCCCCTCTCCTCAGTATCATCAGCATCATCATCCTCATCATCATCATCATCAAACCAACATCATCATCGTCATCGTCGGAATCATCATCATCATCATGATCAGCATCACCCCACCACCAACAACAACAGCATCATCATCAACATCAACGTCAACATAAACATCCTCATCATCCCCATTATCCTCCTCATCCTCCTCATCATCCTCATCATCTTTCCAATGATCATCATGATCCTCATGATCATCATCATGATCAGCATCAACAGCATCACCATCATCATCATCATCATCATCAGCATCATCAGCATCACCATCATCATCATCATCATCATCATCATCATCATCATCATCACCCGCCTCCTCATCATCATCACGCTGTCCCTCAACTCTGCTCCTCGTCCACCTGCTCGCCCCTCCCCTTCACCGCTCGCCCCGGCCGCGGCGCTCCAGGATGGTCGGCCACATGTCCTGCCTGAGAACAGGCCTCCGCTCGGGAGGAGCGGCGCGCCGAGCCCCCCCCCCGTCGGGAAGGAGCAGCGGAAGGAGCCGGACGCGCAGGAGCACGAGAAAACCTGGAGACCACATCGGGGGAAGATGCATCGCGAATCCCTGGGATCTGGCGGCTCTGGATTTGGACGCCCGAAATGGGTAACGACAAAATGGGTACTATGCCCAACAGCAAATGCTGTCCCAAACCAACAGCGGCCGCTGTTGGGCAGGCGGCCTCCTGTCTCGAATGGACACAGGCCGCGGCGGCGTGGACAGCGGATCTGGTTCAAAATGAACAGGAACTGCTGTTGGGCATAGTACCCATTCTTTTCAGTACCCATTTCGTGCGTGCCGACTGGAGCATGCCTCGGGTTCCGCGGCCCTCTCCCGGCGTCCCGGAACGCTCGGAAGAGAGCTCCGAAGGCTCCGGAACGGAGTCGTCCTCCCATAGCAAGGAGCGACAGGCCCCTGAGGTCCGACGCTGCAGAAAAATATGCGGCCTTGCAAAAAGATCAGGACCCGAGCCCAAAACCCCATCCCTTTGCGACCCTTCTGGCTCCTATAATCGATATGTGGTGCTCCCGCGGCCCGGGAGCGAAGGAGGGCGCGAAGGCGCCCGGTGCGAAAGAATTGCATCGCCAAGATCAGAGGTAGAGCCCGAAGAGCTGGAGCAGACAACCAAGCAGGATCATGGGCCTTCCGCGACAGTACTCGTCGTCGACGTCGTCGTCGTCGAAGTCGTAGCCGTGGTGATACCCGTTGTAATCATTACAGTGTCAGTAGTACTTGTGGCAGTTGTAGTAGTACAAGTAGTAATAATCATAGTAGTAGTAGTAGTAGTAGTAGTAGTAGTAGTAGTAGTAGTGGTGGTAGTAGTAGTAGTAGTAGTAGTGGTAGTAGTAGTAGTAGCCTTCGCAGTAGCAGTAGCAGTACCAGTAATAGTAGTAGTTATAAGAGTAGCTTCAGCAGTAAGAGTAGTAGTAGTAGTCGTCGTAGTAGTCTTGTGAATCGTATTCATGTGTATGATCCTTAAAATTACGAGTATTGGTAGCAGTAATAATAGTAGTCAGAGAAATAAAACTAGTACTAGTGGAAATAATAGTAGTCGCTGTGTGAAAGTAGTGGTAGTGATTATAGTAATAGTCGTAATCGTAGTAGTCGTACTGGTAGTAATAGTAGTGTCAGTGGTAGTAATAGTAGTAGTATAAGTATAAGTACAAGTAGTAGTAGCAGTCGTAGTAGCAATCGTAGTACTAGTAGTAGTAGTAGTAGTAGTAGTAGTAGTAGTAGTAGTAGTAGTAGTAGTATAGTAGTAGTAGCAGTAGCCGTAGTACTAGTACTAGTAGTAGTAGTAGTATAGTAGTAGTAATAGTAGTAGTAGTAGTAGTAGTAGTAGTAGTAGTAGTAGTAGTGGAACTAGTAGTATAGTAAAACGGCTGGTAGTTACAGTACAAGTTAGAATTTACAGATCGCACTAGTCGCAATAGTAGTAGTAATACTAGTAGCACTCGTAGTCGTAGTAGTGGTCGTCGCAGCAGACGAAATAGTACTAGTCGTTGGTGTAGCAATGGTTGTAGTAGTAATAATATTCATTCTACTTGAAGGAGTCGTAGAAGAAGAAATAATAGTAGTAGTAGTAGTAGTAGTCGTAGTAGCCGTAGTAGCTGTGACAGTAGTAGTGGCAGTAATGATAATAGTACTTGACTACGAATACTGCTTCGCAATAGTAGGAATGGAATTAATCAAGCGAGCGCCAAAGCTAATATTATTACTACGAGTCGTGAAAGTAAAAGAAGTAGTGATAGTGGTGGTAGTAGCTTTTGCATCAGTAGTAGTGGTAGTAGCTGTAGCAGCAGTAGTGGTAGTTCTGACCGTGGAAATAGAAGGAATAGTACAAGACTTAGTACTAGTAATTGTACCCGTCATTGTAGTAGTAGTCGTAATACTCGTAGTCGTCGTCGTCGTCGTCGTCGTAAGAGTAGTCACCGTCGTCGTGGTAGTCGTTGTCGTCGTCGTTGTAGTCGTAGTAGTAGAAATAGTGGTAGTAGTAGTAGTAGTAGTAGCAGTACTAGTAATACTAAACATAAAACTAGCCGTAGTAGTAGCAGTAATGGTAACAGTAGTAAGACTCACATTAGTAGAAGTAGTAAAATTAGTAGTAGTAACAGTACTCGCAGTAGTAGCTGTAGCAATAGTAGTAGTAGTAGTAGCAGTAGTAGTAGTAGTAGTAGTAATAGTAATAGTAGCCAGAGTAGTAATAGTAGTAGTTGTTGTCGTCGTCGCCGTAGTATGTGTGGGAGCCACCGTCGCAGCAGTAGAAGTAATAGTACTAGGAGTAGTAGTAGTAGTAGTAGTAGTAGTAAGTAGTAAGTAGTAGTCGTCGTCGTAGTAGTAGTCGTAACAGTGGTAGTAGTAGCCGAACTAGTAGTAGTAGTTGTTGTAGTAGTAGAAGTAAAAATAAAACAACTAATGATAGTGAATGTTTTACCGCGCGGGCGAGCCAGCGGGCGCCCCATCCAGGGATTCCGATGGATTCCTGTGGATTCCTTTCGATTCCTAAGGTTTCCTTGGGATTCCTTTGGGTTCTTCTGGGATTCTTGAGAATTCCGAAGCAGTCCGAAGGATTCCTAACCAATCCTTGGGCTTCCAGAAAGGATTCCTGTGGATTCCTACGGAACCCCAGGGGTTCTCAAGAATTCCAAAGGAACCCGATGGATTCCGAAGGATTCCCCGGGATCCCTAAGGATTCCTCCTAGTTTTTTGTTTGCGTTGTTATTGTTGTCGTTCCCTCCCCCCCTCCCCCCCGACCCCGGGGAGGACCTGTCCCGCCTGTATCGAAAACAACCATAATACATGTAAGTTTGCTCTCCTCTTTGCTCGCGTGCCACTCATCACGCATCTCCCAAACCCTCGATACCCGCCCTCTTCGTCTGAGATCGTCACCCCTTAGGGGCAAATCTTTCTCACCTGCAATGTGAATTCCGTGCAGCCCCTAACGCAGGAGAAGAGGACGGATGAAGGGACAATGGGAAACGAGGAAGATGGAGCACGAGAGAGAATAGCAGGAGGGGGGCTAGGAGAAGAAAACACCTGGCAGAACCTGACGGGCAGATCGGGCGGGTAGACCCTAACGCGCGGGTCGGCAAGGCGGACCTACGAGGAACTCTCGAGCGATCGCGCGATTCCCACGGGGGCCACGAAAGGGCATACGTACATGGGGCCGCAGAGGGCGCGAAAGGCACACATATATGGGGCCAGAAAGGGCGACAGCGGGGCCACTGAGGGCAGCAAAGGAGTCACGAAGGGCAGCGAGGGGGCCACGAAAGGCAACAGCGGGGCCAGGAAGCGCATGCGTATGGGACTACGAAGGGCGCGTGCGAGCGGGGGCCAGGAAATGTTGATAATGCGGGGCCACAGAGCAGCGACGGGGCCGCTGGGGGTAGGCACCGGGGCTACGGAGGGCAGCGAGGTGGCCGCCAAGGGCGACAGCGGGGCCACGAAGCGCATGCATATGCGGCCACCACTGGCGCGAACGAGCGGGGGCCACGAAACGCATACATATATGAGGCCACCATAGGCGACAGCAGGGCCATTGAGGGCAGCAAAGGGGTCACGAAGCGCAGCGAAGGGGCCACGAAGGGCGACACCGGGGCCACGAAGGGCCCGCATATGGGCCACGACGGGCGCGTGTTAGCGGGGGGCACGAACATCATACAATACAGGGCCACACAGGGCAGCGACGGGGCCACTGAGGACAGAAGCAGGGCCACGAAGGGCAGCGAGCGAAGGCGACTGCGGAACTAGCACGGGCAACAAAGGGCATGGAAGGCGGGCGAATGGCAGCGAGCGGCGACTGCAGTCCCTAACGAGCTGGTCGGGCCAGCAGGCCGCGACGGGCAGGTCGAGCGGGCGGGTCGTTGAACCGCGAATCCTGCTTGGACCGCCTGGAATCATTTAGCGAGAGCACGACTCCCAAGTAAATCGTGAGAAGGTCCAAAACGAAAGCGCGACTCCTGAGTCTCGAAGAGCGGCGTCAGAATAGAGTGTGAGGAAGTTTCAGCCTGGAGCGCGATTTTTGGGTAAATTGCAAAGAATGTCCAGCGAAAGCCTGCATACCCAATGAGCTTTCAGGAAGTATCAGGCGGGAGCCGCTGTTGTTGTTCTAGCTCGGGGGCCACGGGCGCAGTTTGAGGCTCATGATTTTCCCTGGTGATCAAGGTGCGAGCACGGGGAACGGCACTTCAGCTGAAAAATACAATTTGCACCGGGCAGGCGGGAACATCAACAATTATTCGACAAAAATGAGACTTCGAAAAACAACAACGACAACGACAACAACAACAACCACAACCACAACCACAACAACAACAACCACAACAACAACAACAACAACAACAACAACAACAACAACAATCATTTAAGACTGGGGACACTCCGTTCTCACCAGTGCCAGGGTTTTCATAGGAGGCGGGCAATACCCCCACTTTGTGGGGGGGCCGGTTCAAGCTCTACCAAATTTCCAAACGACTCTTCGCCACCACCCACACCCAGCTTCCCGCCCTATGACGTTCGGACACTTCACTTCGTGGCATGCGGACGACCGTGGCTACTATTCAGGGCCCCGCGGCCGACGACGACGGCGTGCGCGCGCGAAGAAAAAACGAATGTGTCCCGCATGGTATTATTTGACAGGGATGATGGCCCTGGCAGGTGCGCAACCGTTGTCGCAGAAGTTCGAAAAAGTTGCTCGCAAAAGCCCGTTTGACAGAAATGTTTAAAAAGTGTTGGGTTTCCTACGAATCCGCAAGAGCGCGCGGGATGAGATTTTGACATTTTTTTGTTGAAAAACCATTGGTTTTTTGATGTTTTTATGTTAAAATCGCTCCGAACACTAAGCTTTTGGAAGGATTTCGTCTTGCGCGCGCGAATGTCCACTTTACCTTATTTTTTGCAAGGGATTCTTGAAATTTGATTATATTAGAACAAGAAATGTCA